TCCCTTCACATGTCATTGGCCAGAATTGTGTAACATGTCCATGCCCAAACCAATCCCTGCAAAGGGTAATGGGATTATAGTGCTGCTTCCGACCAATCAAGATGCAATGAAGCCAGTCCTGAAAGCATGTAGCCATGTGAAAAATGGTAGATTCTGGCTCACTGCAGGTTTGGAAGTCAGAGGAAGTATGTCGCAGGCAATAGGAGGAAAGTGGCAGTGAAGTTGCCCAGGAGAAGACATGCCAGCTGCTGTTCCTGCTATTGCGAGTCTTCGCCGCCCATAATGGTCACCACCACCAACTGGACTGGATGAGCTCTCTCTCTCTCTCTCTCTCTCCAAGCTGCAAATCTGCACTTGAATGAATGCAGCCTTGAAAGAAGTGACTAGTTTCATAAAAAGACATATTCCCAGAAGCTAGAAAGAAGGGCATACACTTCGAATTGGTAATTGTTTTTTACAGATATTAGAAGACCGTGCCATCAAGTAAAGGAGTTTGGCAGCATGATGTCTGGCGGAAAGGGGACTGATGATTCATGACACCGCAGTCACAGAGTTTCCACATAGGCAGTTATTTGGACGTAGCAACCATTTCTCCAAGTCAGGCGCCAGCTCCTCCAGGGCACATGAGACCATGTTAGATTTTATTTACTATTTCTTCTATTTGTTTGTCAGTTATGGAAAATAAACTTAGATATTCTTTCCCTCCTCTCATTATTGCCTTCAAGGCTTCAGACTCTAAACAAATTGTAATCCATTTATTTAGGAGTTAGATTTGGCTGTGCTGTGGTATGAATATTAATAGAGGGTCCATATTACTTCAAGCCCTTCTGTAAAATATGAAGAAAAGTGCTCTTAGTATTCTGTGTGAAAGTGTACTGTTAAATATATGTGTGGCATTAAAAAATAGCGGCTCCCTAAATAAAGTCAGGGTTCTTTAAGGAGGGAGTAAGGTGTAAATATATGTGTGGAAATTGGATTGGGTGTTGGTAAGGCAACCAGCTGAGTTGGATAGAAGGTTAATTTGGTGCTTTTTCAGATATTGGTCATTCCTTTTAGTTTCTTATTGGCTGTATTTTTAAGCCTGTCTTTTATTTTTCTTCAAGTATATTAAGAATTGTGACCAATAATTCCAACATCTGATTTTTCCCGTAAGGAAGGATTGATGTTTCTTCTGTTTATCTGCTGGCTCTCCTTCATGGTACCATCCCTCTTTATGTGTTCAGTTGTTTTGTGTGCTTTGTTATTTGCTTTCATTAAAAACATATTTGAGGGAATTCTTTGGAAGTCTAGGATGAAAGAGAGAGCTTCCAGGAAAAAAAATTGCATTTTCTTCTGCCAGGGCTCTGGGAAGTTGCCAGCCCAATCTTAAACTGAATTCATAGTTTAATGAAAATTTGGGGATACAAACCGAGCCACCAGAGGGGGACTTAAAATTTTTTAAGTGAGGCGTTCTAAAGCACAAGCCCACTCGGGTACAAGGGAAGGGGATGGAGGGGCCGGCTCCTTGCTTGCTTCGGACTAAGCAAGGGCAGTGCTAGTTGGAATGAACATCTCTATGTATATTAAATTTGCAAGGATTAAGGCAGGATTAGTGTTTAGGGAGTGACCTTGAGTCAGGAAAGGTACAGAGTGACTTAGAAGTCTCAGCATGACAGAAACGTTTCAAAGGAGTGGGTGAAATAACCCAATGTGGTGAGAATCAAAGCTGGAGGTGTCATGGAGAAGGGACAAAAAATGTTCTGGAAGCAGGAATGAGGAACAAGGACACCACCTTCCTACTTCCAGACACAGTGATGCAAGAGCTGGAGAAGAAATAGCCATCGCTTGAGAGGGTTACGGGGGGAGCAGCCTCTTTGGGTAAGGGAGGCTTCCATTAGAGCGGGAAGGGAAAGAAACACTCAGAGAAGAGGCTGAGGACATAGTGCATTTTGCTAATGGTGGACTGTGCATTCCAGAAGACCCAGTCAAAGGGTTATAGGAGTTGCACAGGGAGAAATGGACAGACTATAGGATGTGCTGAACCTTATGAGCATTAGAATACAGGAGATGAGAAATGCACTTGAGATTCTGTGGCTGCTTGTAGTAACTGATATAAACAGGCATTTAAGGGCTTAATGAGATTAACATTGATAGACTCAAAACAAAGAGTGCTGGGGAAGCTGTGAGTACTGGGGATGAGAAGGGTAGGTGTCTGTGCCTCACTACTGACCACTGATGATGGAGGTGAGGACAACTGGAGAGGTGTGGCCTTGGTATAAGCATATGAGCCTCCCTTTGGACCCCTGTTCTGGAAGCCGGGTGTTCCTCTGAGTTTGCAGGAGCATCTTATAGGACTAGCTCTCCATGATGCAGCCTTTGGAAAAGCTCAGTCTGGCTACAAAAACGGGAAGGGAGACTAACATTTACTCTATGCCCACTACATGCTAGGCACTGTGCTTCTTGTGTATGTTATCAAATGTAATCACCACAGCATCTGTACATAGTGTGAATGATTTTTACTGAAACCACTTTACAGATCTTTGGTGCTCCTTAGGTGTGTTTAATGGCTTGCTTTCTAGCATCACAAGCAGACACTGCACTGAGGGATAAAGGTAGTGATTTGTAGGAGGGTAGTGACTGTAGACCATTGACATGTTGTGGAAACAGAGTAGGTGTCCTCGTTACCCTTCATCAGCTCCTACAAGGTAAGTGTTTTTTGGGGAGAGAAAACATGCCCTTATAATGAAGGTGTGAAGAAGACTATTCTCAGTGCTGGATCCAACAGGCCTGGGTGCAAGGGGTGCCTCATGAGGGACCCTAGAATGAGAGCCACTCTGGAGGGCAAGCTAAGAAACCTACGCATACCATCATCATGAGAATATGTTTTTTTGTGCTCCAAAGACACAACATTAAAATACCCTCCTCTGACACAATCTGGTCTTAAATCAGACATTTTCTGCAAACACACAATCAGAGATTTTCCTGAAGGAGCTGTTCTCTGCAAATGCATCAAAACATAAAAACTCGGCAGCTTAAAAAATGTATACACTTCTTTAAATATCTTCCATGGACAGCACAGAGGAATGATTTAAGGGAGAGATGGCATAGCACAGAGCACATTGATCATTTTTAAGGTTTGTTTCATGGTTTTCTGAACTTCTATCACTTGGAGAAACAACCCATTATTCTGTGACATTTGGGGGGTGGTTCTCAAGAGGATATCCATTTGAGAGCACAATGAATTGCCAGCACATTTTGTAGTTGAGAGCTCAAAATTTTGTATATAACATATAGGCAATCTGGATAAGATTTATG